GACTTACTTGTTTTCATCACCTTATGCTTATGCTTAGTGCATAGCATACACATTATAACATCATCCCATATCATTTTCATAAACCATTTCAAGGATCTTAAGTGATTGTGATGCAGGTTATCATGAACCAGACCCCTAGCAAGGGGCGTGAGGATTTGATTTTCTCTAACCAAATGCCATCGAAGTATCATGAATTAACGTCTAACAAAGGAAAAGGGGATTTATTTTCCTCTAACCAATGTCGTCAAAGACCGAAGTACATTATCTTAAGTAAAAGGATAGGACCCACTCGACATGGTGAGCTTGATTCTTATAGAAGGACATTCAATGATGAAAAGTTCTTCAGTCAAAGCTGCAACAACTTCTAACAGTTCACTTTTTGTTTATCCTGCGAGATCTTTGAAAACATTGCATCTACATATCATGCATCATTACATAACAGGTAGTTCTCAAGATAGGTTGCTCATTTTCTCGTTTTTTATTTTAGTAGAAAAATGGCTCCCGAACAGACCGTCAGAGATCTCCAAGCTCAAAATTCACAATTCCAGGAGATGTTCCTAAGCTTAGCCAAGGGGAAGGAGGAACTAAAAGCACTCCTCACCAAGAATCCTAAAAATAACAAGGATGACCAGTTGGAACAATTGCAAGCTGAGATGGCAAGGATTAGAATCCAAATGATAAATAAGATGAATCTTATCCAAAACATAGCTCGGGGACAAGAAGAGTTAAGAATCCTCATCAACAAACTTCGTCAAGAGATATACGAATATATCAGACAAACTACTAGGATTGGGGTCTAATCAATAATCAACCCCTCTTGGCAGACAAGGAATTAGTTGACATGTTCATAAGGGAATATGTTGAAAATGGAATCAGAAGAAGTGAAATTCAGGTGACTGCATCTTCAAGTACTCAAAAGAGGTCATACAATGGGAAGAAGGAGTCTAGTACTATGTCTGGCCAAAAGGGTCATAATAAGAATGATCTCAACCAATCCGTGGAGGCAATACATATTTCTAATCCATCACCAGTGCATCAACAACAATTGGTTGATCAATGTAAGCATAATACACCTAAAAGAAGATTTACCCAAATCAATATGTCATTGGCTCAAGCATTACACCACATGTTGAAGGCCAAGCTGGTTACATTGAAGGATCCTCCTCAGAAACCAAATACTTCTTCTTCCTGTCACAATCAAAATGTAAGGTGGGCGTACCACTCTAACATTCCTGGACATAACACTGACAGTTGTTCGGTGCTGAAACATAAGATTCAGGACCTGATTAACAAAGGAATTTTCGAGTTCACACAAGATGGCAAGCTTGAGTTTTTGTGTCATCCCTTAAAGACATACCATCTGAAGTGACAAGTTCGGGCAGGGAAGCTTTTTGTTCATTCAAATTTTTCATTTGTAATTTTCTTTAGTTGATTAAAACACTTACATTTATGTCAGAATTTGTTTGTCCCCATTAATGCTTTTCAAATGTTTGTCTTGAATTAATCCATTCGTTTTCACTACACTGAAACTATGCTTTTACTTCCTTATTGTAATATTCAACTCTCGATTAAAAGCTATAACCGTCTAGAGGGAGGATGATGAAAAGATACCATAATCTCTACAATATGCTTTTGTACAGACATTGTTGACGATGTACAAGCGTTGTTTCAAATCCTAAATATTGAAGTTATAAGGAAGATAATCCCTAATCAACCCCTTTGATCCTAAGAAGTAGGAGTTTTCTTTTTCACAAAAATTGAAACCTTTAAGCAAAACCTAGGGCAGGATAGTTTCTCAGTTAATTCAAATGCATATTTAGTCGCAAGCTTTCACTTCATACACAACAAATAGTATCAAAAGCGTCTTTCCAAATCAAAAGACGATGATGGTTCCCCGTAATACAGGCAGTCATTATCGCTCGAAAGAAAAGCCCTCTAAGTCAAAACCTATGAAGGAGACTTAAGAAAAAACTTGGGGGCATCCTGCTGACTGTAATCTCAAACAAAATAGTCAGGCAAAAATTATGGATAATAAAGTCAAAAAGAGGTTGCTACAAATCTCAACAAAAAGAAAATGTTACAAGAATGACTCCCTTCTCAAATAAACTTCTAGTATCCGAACCATCACCAAAATATCATTCCAGACTCAATTGGAATCCAAACGCACAATTAATTGAGTACAGTGTGGAAGGACATCACGAAGAACATGTTAGGTACAAATACAATTTGAGCCTTTATCCTTTGTTTCGTAAAACATGACCCAGGCCACGTTACAACCCTTAAAAGTCCTAAGTGAAGCATAGGATAGTTCGAAAGCATACTGTTACAAAAGATATCCTGACTCTTGTAAGGCTTACAATAAATCCTAAGTTGAATTCATATTCTTACCAAAATGATGTGTTTTTTACTAAAAATGCATTTTTAAAAACATTAAGACAGACATAAGCTTTTCATTTTTAACACCATTGTTTGCATATGACTAATTGTTCTCAGCAAAGAAATTCGCACGTTGAATATTCAATGAATGGAAATCCTCTCATTGAACAAAATCCTCTCAAATTCCCTTAAAATATCATAGTCCCTCGATGACTATTCGACGTTGCCTTTAGTAAATGATCTTAGTCCCTTACGAAAGTTGCTAAAGAGTCATACAAGTTGCCTTCTATGATTGTATGATGACCCTCGCATGTCCGTCACATCCAACAATAAAGCTTCCTACTAACTAATAGTAGGGTAGAACTATCTAAAGGAGGAGGAAAAAAACAAAAACCTTTTGAGTACGTAGATCGCTCGTAATCGCTTTCTCATAAACTAAAACAATTTTCACACCTCACACTTTTCACAAAAAACCAACACTTTCTTTCAATAAATATTTTAAAAACAAACATTTTGTGTACATTCTCAATGATACGAGAATCATTACAAAATTGTCGTACTTAGACATTTTCAAAATATTTTCAAACACATACACAAAATCATTTTCAAAGTGAGCTAGCAATTATGAGCCCGTAGATAACTACAGATGAAAAGGGTGTTAGCACCTTCCCTCTTCATAACCTACCCCCCGAAATCAGAAAATTCTCAAAAGGTCTTTCATGTTCTTTTCACCCTTTACTTTATTGGATAAAAGAAAAGTCAGTGGCGACTCTTGCTATCTGCAACATTTGCGATAAAATGAAAAACAAAATTCCGTTTTGCTACCGTATTACAGTCACCAAGAAGTCTCTCAGGTGGTGGTGGATTTTCACCCATAGTTTCGGGTTCTGATTCTGAATCTACCTCTTTATGCTCTGAATGGTGTTATGACTCGGAATCTGAATGAACTAAAATAAGTTCTTCCTCAAAGGCCAATTTAGCTAATCTCTCCTATCTTCTCAGTGAGTGAAAAGTTCTTTCGATCTATGCATCTAAAGGAATTCAGATGAGTCCTTACCTCGCATAAAAGATTAGAAAGATAGTAGTAACATATATATATATATATATATATATATATATATATATATATATATATATATATATATATATATATATATATATATATATATATATATATATATATATATATATATATAATAACAAAAAATAAAATTTTAATTGCAGAGCAATAAAATTTCAATTGAATTACAATTAACTTTGTATTTTGGCAGTCCCCGACAATGGTGCCTAAAACTTGATAGGGAAAATAGCAAATGTACTAGTTTTCCTAATAGTAATAGTGGAGAAATTCTCCGAATATCAATCTCGAGGACTGCTGAAGCTACTGGCAAAGAAAACCCAGAGCCACCACCAAACTTTATTTATCCCAAAGGAAGAAGAAATATCGAGAAAACCATAAGAGGATGGATAAGATAGTCTTGCAACCAAGAGAAAGGGTAAGGAAGTCGGTTATGCAAAAGGAAGGTATTAGAACCCCTCACATCTGTTGTACTTGACGAGATCCATTTTGTTTATTTGCTTCTAAGGGTGTGTTTATCTATGACTATACTTGTTAATGGGAAATACATGATTTTTTATTAGTGCGTTCATGAGGGTCTCACAACCCTTTGCCTATGTATCCAGTGAAGGAATTAGAACACCATAGTTCTTCTAGAAAATATTGGTTTGTTGGTGGTTTTTAGTGGGCAACATTAACGCACACATTCTAGAAATTGGGACGGCCTGTATCGCGGTAGAATGGAAATAACATGGCCTTTTGGGGAAATTTTTATTGGTTCAGTGTTTTGCGAGTTTCATAATGAAATCGAATAAAGATTAAATATTTTGGGATTTCTTGATTTGTAAATGAGAAGTTTTAATTTATTACAAAAGAAGAAAGAGTCTAAGAGGTAGACTAAAAAACCCTAATTATTGTCATGTACAAAGATGGACCTAATATTTAGTTTAAAAGGGAAATTATATCCTAAAGTTATCATATTTGGATTAAATACTAAGGTTTAATTAATTCAATTTAATTGAGAGATTAAAATTTAATTAAAAATCCTAGGGGAGCATGGGAGCATTCAAGCATATAACAAAATACAAACATTAATATGTCATGATCAATCACAAGATAAGTCTCAAATAATTGATGAGAAACTAAACTATCTAAACAAAAGATAACTAAACAATATTAAAAATAAAAAGGCTAATTAACAAAATTAATTATTCACAAATTTTTCATAAACTAAACTAATTAAGAAAATTATTTGGTTAAGTAAAACTATATTTAATATTTAATTGAGATTAACAACTAAACTAAAAAAAAAACTAAGTAAATTAAAAATAAATATGGGTTTAGAAATAGTAAACAGGGGGTTCTACTGTGAGCAACTCAGTTGGGTTGGTGAATGTTGGGGTGGAGGCCCAATCAATAGTTGTTGTAACATGAAAAATGAGAGAAGAGAAAAGGCAATATGGTGTGGATCTGGGCCGGGTTGAGTGGCTTTAAGACCAAACGAAATTTGAAGTTTTAAAAAAACCCTAAGACAAAACCTAACAGCCGCTTGCTCTGTCTCTCTTCTATGCTATTTTCTTACTGTGTTCTGCTACTCATGCTAATTTTCTACAAAAAGTTCCTCTGTATATCAACCATTCAATGCTTCCTCTGTTTTCATCTTGCTTTCTCAATTCATCATGCTAACAAACTTCCCCGCCTCAGCTCGTTCTCTCTTTTACTCCCTTCTTCTCTAATTTCTCTATGTTTCCAAAATCATGAACACTTCCTCTGTATCCACACTAAAAGTGTCCTCAATCATCTCCTAATCGCTATCTCTTTGCTCATACTCTCAACTTTTCCTTTTTTTCAAACACATTCTGTAACGCAAATTCAATCCTTAAGAACCACGTAATTTCCCTTTCCAATTCTCAATCCCGTCTGATCCCATGCCTTCGTAACTTCAATGGTTTATGGTTCAAGATTGGTTTTCGAAGAGGGTTCCGCATTTGGGGTTTCGATGCACTTCACGCTTTGCATTGAAATCACATTTGGGTATCTTCTTAGATTGACTCAAGTAAGAGCTTCATTCCAATCTGCATTTTTGTTTGAATTTCTCGGTGACGAACCCTAGGTTTTCTAAATTCAAATAAAGGCTAAAAAAAAGTGGATTCGAGCATTTGACTGAGGGGTATGCATCAATAACATAAGAACAACACCACTGAAATGAGATTTTGCGGAGGATAATGTGGGAAAAGTAATTTTGAGCTTACCACGAGACGGCGATAATACTGTCGTTGAGCACTGAATCTAAACATTTTTTTTAGCTTTCTCGCGTGTCGTCGTTGTTGATGAACCAACAGAGTTCTCTGGTAGGTAAGCCTTAATCCCCTTTATCAATTCTGAATCCAGGTATGTTTGTTCTAATTTTTCGCCTTCGGTTTTCCTTTATATTCGTTCTCAATCTCCTTCCTTCATTTATGGATTTGTTTCTTGTAAATTTATTTTGCTACTTTGTGCGAATTTTTTGGCACGTCGTTGGAGATGATATCATTGGTTGGGGTATGAAGGTGTTTGTTAAGAGTGAATAGTTGCTTTTATTGTAAGTTTCAAGTTGTTTTACAGGCTTTCTATAATTGTCAATGATGCATTATTGCTTATGCATTACAGGTTTGAAATAGAACATTGGAGAGTGGAGTAGGGACGATTTGTGTAGAGTAAAGTCGATGGTGGAGTGCAATGGGATAGTGCAGAGAAATAAAGGTCATTAGATGAAGAGTTTGAAGGTTATTATTGGTGAATTTTTGTGTCTTGGTAAGGTTGATGAAAGGCTAGTAGGAGTGAGAGATAAAGGATGTTTGGAGAGGTTTGACGGCTGCCCTTTCTGTTTTTTCTTGTCGAATTTTCTCTCCCTCTTTTGTGTATTTTCTGTGTTCATATCTAGTGATCTCCCTCCCCCCTTTTTTATTCTCTCTCTTATATGGTTTTATAACACTTAAGAGGTTGAAAATTAGGGGGGGGGGGGGGGGGGGGGGGGAGTTTGAGAAATTTTAACATTTTGATATGCTGTTTTTGTAACCTTTTGAGTGAAAGTTATGTTTGGTTAGCCTTTAGGTAATGTCATAGGTTTTTGGGAGGCTTGTGGCAGCATAGTAGGGATGACATCAGGCCTACTTGGTGCAGACTTGGCAGGGCTTGAAATTGGCTCTTTGCAACTGGTTTTTGCAGGGCTGGACAATATATTATCTAGTTTGCTGGTTTTACTTATGTGATGTCTTCGTGACCCTGTTCTTTTCCTCTTTTCTGTCTATGATGCAAAATGGCTGTTATGCTTTTCTTATAATTTCTGAAGGGTTTGTTAGTCTAGGAACATGATGATACAATTAGGGTTTTGGCTATTTTATAGCCTTTAGGGGTTTGTGAGCTATTGTTGTTGGGATGACATCAGGCCTACTTGGTGCAGACTTGGCAGGGCTTGAAATTGGCTCTTTGCAACTGGTTTTTGCAGGGCTGGACAATATATTATCTAGTTTGCTGGTTTTACTTATGTGATGTCTTCGTGACCCTGTTCTTTTCCTCTTTTCTGTCTATGATGCAAAATGGCTGTTATGCTTTTCTTATAATTTCTGAAGGGTTTGTTAGTCTAGGAACATGATGATACAATTAGGGTTTTGGCTATTTTATAGCCTTTAGGGGTTTGTGAGCTATTGTTGTTGGCCTTTTAGTTTTCTGTTGTTTTTCTAGTCTGGCCGTTGTTTTGGGCTGCTGCCGTTTTAGGTTTTCTATTTGCCTGTTGGCTACTGTGTTGTTTGGCAATTTTGCTTTTGTTTTCTGTTTTATATTTGTTTCTTTTCTTGCCATTTTGGGTTGCTATGTTGTTTGGAAGTTTTGTGCATGTTGAGATTGTTTCTTTGACAAAAATACGCAGGGTAGCAGGCCTGACTTTTGGCAATGCTTTTGACTGGCTTTGTTTTTGCCGTAAACTTGTTTGTGAATTTCTTTTCCTTTTTTGAACCAAAACTTAAACTTTTTTGATTTGCAAAATAGGATAATATAGCCCATGATTGAATCAACCCCTTTGATTTTCTGATTACGAATACAAACCCTAATGATGAAATGAAAATTCTCTTTAAATAATTTGTTCTCGCTTGGAATATTATTCAAATATTTATGTTTGATAACTCTTTCTATCTTTCTTGTTTCATGAACAATGAGGATTGGATGCTAAAGGAAAGGTTTAAATCTTGAAGAAAAAGTCATGGCAAGGAGTGAGGACAAGTCACTTAAAGATGGAACTTGAATATCCTCTCTTCAACTTATGATGAAATTGTTATATGGGAATTAGACAATTCTTGAATCTTGGTTGAAATTTGAAATTCCCCACTTGAATGGTTTGAATGATACATCTTTATTTTGTAATTTGAACTTCAAGAAATCACGAATGACCTTTGTAACGTGTATTTCAAGTAAACCATATGCCTTCGCTTACAACCTCAATCTTCATATCATGTCCAAATAAAACTTGCACTCTCAATGAGAACCTTAACCTTGATGTCCAAACCACAAGTGACTTGTAATTGAATTAACAAAAACATGCCTTAATTTTAATACGAGTTCGAAACATCATATCTTGTTTCATGGCTCAAATACTTGCAATATTAGTCACAAACCATTGACCATAATTTTGAATTATTTAACAGGCCCAAATATGATGATGCTCATTGATGAAGAAAGATCTCGAAGTGTTTAAGATAATCGAAAACATAATCCAGGACTTTGAAGAATATCAGTGTGACTTGACGAAGATGTAAACCCATGATACCTCAGAACTTCATTCCATAATCTACAACTCAAGAACCAAATGAATTTGTCTCTTCAAACCAAAATTAAACCCTAATTTTCCCAAATATTGATCCTTAAACCCAAGTGCATTATTGAATGAAATGAATGCTATGGATATGAATCTCGTGACATGTATGAATGAAATGTAAAGTCTAACTAGAGAAATAGTAAAAGGGTAGGACAAATTCAGGGTATGACAACTGTCTTACAATACTGAGTTAAACTTATGGTTACATTAAACAAAAACTATCAGTTCTTTTGTTTGGAATAAATCCTTGAAAATAATGAACATAGCAGAATGTAAAATATGACTTTTTACTAGTATGAGAAAACATGCTACTGGTAAGTGTGTTATTTTCCATATGGTAACTTTGACTCTTGATCTTTTCAACAAGTTCATCAACATCAACTATCGGTTCTTAAGATTGTTTTCCCCTATGTCCTTAGTTAAAAATCTTTTACTTATATCCTAATTTCAATTTCCATTTAAAAGTAGTGATGAAGCAAAGCATTTGATTATCAAGAATTTCCGGTTATTATAGCATTACCCTAGTCCTAGGTTAAATCTTTTATAATATAATAGTCTAGAAAATCTTAACACGATTGTCCAGCATTAATGTGTTAAGATAAATGAAAGCCTATTTATCCGATAGGGAAAAACAATAGATTATTCTGAACAATTAAATTAATAGAAAAGAACTAGTATCATTACAATGACAAATAAAGGACACCCCCTAGCATTGGGGGTTTAGCCTCTCCTAATATTCATATAAAATTCAATTAAAAGATTAAACATTACAAGAAAAGAGGATTGCTTTGATCTTCAATAACAATTTCTCTTGAAGTTCTCTGTTCTCCAAAATCCTTGACATCTCCACTCTTTCTACTGCAATTCTTTCGTCCGATCCAAAAGTCATTCTCTATTCTAAAAAAAAAGCTTAAATAGTCCCCAATACACCATATTTGTCAAAAATATTCAAAATACCCTTTGGGATGGCTAACAAACCAAGTTTCCTAAAAATTACATTTTTAGTGCCCTGGCCAACACGGGCCGTGTCACCTGACACGAACACCTGTTTCGACCTCTGTCCATTTCTATAACAAATCCTCTCGCCCAGACCTTTTGACACGGGCCGTGTCAGCTGATACAGGCACCCGTATAAGCCCCTGCCTCTACTCCCAAACTACAACTGTTCATCCTCTCCTGACACGGCCCATGTCAGGTTACACGGGTGGCCGTTTCAGGACCCATGTAGCCTCCAATATTCTTCTTCTCAACACCAGAACTTCCATTTTCCTCTTGCAAGTCCATTGGGGCTTTTTGCCTGAATCTGACAACATAGAACACTACCAAGAAAACACATAAAATGCGACAAAAAGATATAAACTTATACTAAAAACACTATGAGAATGGAAAATTTAAAAAAATCAAATAACTTCAAAAAATAATAGACAAAAGAACCAAAGTGTTACCGATTCTGGGGATTCATACCGAATAAATGAAAGAAAACTAGAAGAATTGGTGACCGATCACATCCCCAGATTAGAAGATCTGCAAACATCATTCGCTTTAAGGGTACTCAAACAGTAAAGCATCACATTGTTCATACTCGTATGAGTCTCTGGAATGCATGCCCCTTAGGGTACTCAAACTGTAAAGCAACTAACTTTTGATTCAACAGAGTATTCAAGCCTCTCTTTTTCGACAAGGTTAAGTTCTTCAGTGATGCTCATTGTGCAAGCTCACTTGATGTTTAAGTACTTTCTCATATGAAAAAGATGTTTTATTATGAGAATTTGAAGTGGAAAAACTTTTATTGAAAAGAAGTTGAAACATCAAAAATAATTTTGTACAAAAGACAATAAAACGATGGAATAATACCAACTCAAAAGTTTTAGCAAGCCTCCTAGGAGTCATACTACCATACTCTTATTATGTTTTTGTTTTTGAATTAACTCATGCTTCAATTAGGACTTTTAAGGGTTATAACATGGCTTGGTTCACGGTTTTAGAAAAAAGATTAAAGGCTAAAAGTTATTTGGTGCCCACCCATTCTCCATGATGTTCTCCAGTCCTACATTCAGTTAACTTGACACGAGCACCCATCTCTCAAGAAGAGTTTGTGATGGTTGAGGAACCACTTAAGTTTCTTGGACATGACAGTCACTCACCTTTGCTTCTTTTGTGTTTCTGGTCACACGACTTTTCTCTTTACTAAGGATCTTCATTTTTTAATCCTTTCTCGCCCTTCAGGCTTTTCCTTTTTCTTTTTCACTTTCCCAAATTTTTGCCTGGACATTTATGTTTTATTTTTGATTTTCAAGTCCAGCGGGATACCTTAATTTTTTCCTAAGTCACTTGTTTTCAAGTTTTTCGACTTAGTGGACTTTTTTTTTTCATTATCTTTCTTTTTGAACACATCGTGGGACTTCGAGTCGTTTTCTACTTGTTGGAAGAATTGTAACTTGCTAATTCTCTGGTTGGTGAGGGGTAAGCATTGTTGTATCGTCATCTTTTATCATCTTTTGACAAGAAAATAAACTCCTACTTCAAGGCTCAAAGGGGTTAAAGAGGGTCTATCTCCCTTATATCTTCGGTGTTTAGGAATTTGAAATAATACATGTACATCGTCAGCAGGGTTTTACGCAAAAAAATACCATTTGAAATTCTTGGTATATTTCTCATCATCCTCCCTCCAGAGGTTTTACTTTATCAAACAAGAGTTGGGTATTGAAACAAAAAGAAAAAAAGAGTGATAGCGAATGGATTAATTCAAGACAATCATATTCAATGCATTTATTATTTAATATTAAAAACAAACAATTTTGCATACAAGAAAGTACTGTACCACACAAGAAATATTACAATTGAGAATGAAAATGAAACTGGAAATTTCAATGTTGAGGAGGCATGACTCCATATGGACTTATTGCCTCAGAAGACCTTTATCAAAATTGATTCTCACTCGGGAACATGATTATATTTCTTGCCTGGTGTGAATGCAACAATCCTTGAATCATTCAAGTCTTGAATTTTATCTTTGAATGACACACATTCTTTGATTGAATTTCTAGGTGCCCCGGCATGGTAAACACATCTGGTGTTGGGGTTAAATCCATCTAGATAGCGAGAAACAACGGGATCTAACTATTTGGTTTCCACCAAAGAAAGTTTGAGCAAATGCGAGAACAAATGACCATAAGGTACGAGAATTGTGTCATATATTCTTTCTGGCTTCCCGTCCTTCTGTCTTCCCTATGGTTGACATCTCTGTTGATAAGTTTGTGACTATTGAGTGCACTCAACTAGCCAAGCATAAGGGTGATACTGATTCTGGTTAACCATCTTATTCTCAGGTCTTGAAGAAGGCACTGACTGTTGTAATGGGAAATTTGGGAGTACAGGTTTTGGACGATGTATCTCAGGATGCAAGGTAAATCCTTGAAGGAGAGAAGTCATTACCATCTCTTCTACAACAGTTAGGGTAGGCTTGATTTGTATACTCAGACCTTTGGGAGTAACCAGAATTATCTCTGTCGAGTAAATTCTAGACTATGTAATTCAACACCTTAAAATACTCAACACAATGTCTTGGGGTAAACCCCAAGAACTCTGTGTCTGATGAGAGGGAGCATGGTGACTACAGTGTGTCTGTCTGCATAGAATCACATAATCGCCACAAGGGTGATGAAAATTGTCATCACCTAATTACCTCTCATAATAAACTTAATTATATAAAACAAAATTTAAAATAACATTTACAAGAAAAAAACAAAAGAGAAAACATTATTTTCTTGTATCTTCTCGTCTCTCTATGAAAGGAGCTCGCCTGAGAAGAAGGGGCTTCCGCGCTGGGAATCTCCTTGCGGCAGAGGTAGTGGAAAAGATGCTTCGATCTTAATTTTTTTTACATTTTATGAATCGTCTTCTTCTTCTGATTATTAATCCGTGCTTTGATTTTGAAAAAAATGGAAGATCTCACCTAGATCTTGAAGGGGGTTTAAGAAAACCTAAGTATTAGATACGATGTTATTCAAACCAAAACAGAGAAAAGTGAAAGGGAGAAGGAATGAAGGAATCGTTGATGTGCGGTATTGCGAGCTTTATTGTCCTATTTGAAGTTTCTCTTGAGATCTCTATGATCTTTGTTTCTGTATTCTTTGTGACTTACGGGATCCAAAACCTTTTCCTTTTTCTTCTCTTTCTTCCCGAAATTTCT